GTCACGGGGTCCGGCCGCGACTGCGTGCTGCTGCAAGAGGACTTTCTGGCGCACCGAGGCCGACCCCACGTCTATCTGCAGCGCATCCAGCTCAACAACCCCACGGAGCGCGTGGCCGCGCTGCAGACTGTGGGCCCCACTGCCGGTCCGGTCCCCAGGGCCTACACCAGCACCTTGGAGAAGGTCGGAGACCATCAATTCCTCCTCTACTCGGGCCTGTCCCCGCCTCTTCCCACGGGCCTGGTGCACCTGGTGGTGGTGGCCGCCAAGAAACTAGTGAACCGGCTCCAAGTGGCTCCCAAGACGCAGCTGGATGAGACGGTGCTGTGGGTGGTGCACGTCTCAGGCCCTGTTAACCCCCAGGTGCTCAAAAGCAAAGCAGCCAAGGAGCTCAAGCTGCTCCAGGACTTGGCGCGGAAGGAAATGCTGGAGCTCTTGGAGATGCCCGCGGCTGAGCTGCTTCAGGACCACCAGCGCCTCTGGGCTCAGCTTTTCAGCCCAGGTGAGGCCTGGCAAGTGCTTGGTTTATAGTTCACACCTTGCACCAGGGTGAACATGGTCCACCCTGGAGATGCCCCTCCAAAGTCTGGAGAGGGGACGCTGAAGGGGAGCAGAGGCATGGTTAACACTTGGGCAGGGCATTTGACCTGGGACTTGCCTCCTTTAGTGCCTTTGTGACCTGGACCAGTAGCCTAATCTCTCTGGACTCATATTCAAGGGTTTTTATGAGATTCTAATGAAAGAATGAGTGTAATGGGTAGGTCTTGTTACTGTTTTGTAGGTGAGGCCTGATTTGAGCAAAGTGGTTTGGAGGGTCAGCTTGTAAAGGGTAAAAAAGCAGGCAGAGAGAGGCCTGGTTGATCCCCAGATTCTTTCCTCAGTTCCCCATAGTCTGGCTGGTCACAAGCATGGGCTTCTTGACCTCCCTTGAAGCTGAGGTGCCCTAGCTGTTGTGGCTGCAGTTTTTTCACAAGGTGGTATAGGACCTCTTCAGCAGGCAGGATGCCCTGTCAAATGAAAACGTCTTTCCCCCTTGACTGTTTAAAAAAGTCATGTTCCAGAGGAGGGAGAGATTTTGGTTTCCAGGGTTCTACTTGTCTGAATCCTTACATTTAGTTGCTCAAGGAGTCTTTAATTCACTCAACAAGTATTTACTGAATGCTTCTGCCAGAGTCTGTTCTCACCTGGAGACAACAGACATAAACAGACGAAGACCCTGTGCTCATAGTGTTGCTTAAATTCTGGACGGGAGGAAGACAAATATTAGAAAAGTGAAAACTTGGATAAGAAAAATAGCTTTCTAGAATAAAAAGTACTATGGAGAAAGGTTAAGAATACGTGATTGAGGGTGCCCAGAGGGGGAAGTAAGAGAAGTGGGACAGCCTCTGTTTAGCTCCAGTTGTCAGCGAGGCCTCTCTGAGGAGGAAAACTTAAGCTGAGACCTGACTAGCAGGGAAGCCAAGCCAGCAGGCCAGAGCCCCTGAGGCAGGAGTGGGTGTGGCTGAGTGGCCAGTGTGGCTGGCAAGTAGTGAGCAAGGGGAGGGCAGTGGGAGGCGAGGTCAGACAGGGGAGGCTGGCAGTGGCCAGATCGCAAAGGATCTTGTAGGGCTTGGCGAGGATGGTGAATCTTACTGTAAATGGGATGGAAAGCAGGGCTGAGACACCATCTGCTGCACGTTTTTAAGGGTCCCTGTGGCTGCTGTATGCGGAGTATAGACTATACGGGGCAAAAGTGGAGCGTGCAGACCAGGTAAGAGGTTTTTGCAGGAACCCAGGTGAGAGAGGAGGGTGGCTGGGATCAGAGTTGTGACTGTGGGGACAGAATTGGATGGATTCTGATACCTTTGGAAGTGGAGCCACCAGGACTTCCCAGGGACTGGCTATGGGGAGTGAGAACTTGAGGTGACTCCCGAATTAGGGGGGAGGGCTTGAGCAGGTGTCTGGAGACAACTTAGGGAAGGATAGGTTTGGGGCTGGAAAAATTTAACCACATCAGGTTCAAAATGCCTGTTGGACATCCAGGTGGAGACATCAAGTGGGCGGTTCGCTGGGTGAATCTAGAGGTCGTACGTGTTTGGGAGATGCTGTGTCTAGATGTTATTTAAAGCTATAGGACTGCAGAGAGAGAGAGATGATAGAGGGGAGAAGCCCAAGACTGGCCAGGGCACTGGTGATAGTGTTCTGGAGTGGAATTTTTTACTTGGCTCTATATGGTTGGTGCCCAGTTCTGGCTCTGTCTGGGTTCTTTTGTGCTCTGGCAGGAGGCACCACTGCCTTTCAACAAGATTTTAGGTTTCAGACCCACAGGGTTCCAGTTGGTCATGTGAGGAGGCCAGGCAGGATAGCTTTCTCACTCCAGGGAAACGGGAACTGCCACTTCATCCCCAGGGACAAAACCTTTGTCTCCAGTGCTCTTGATCTCCATTTCATAGCCTTAGCTCCCGGCCATGCCATCCCCGTAACGTGTAACCTCTGGCCTTACAGGTGTGGAAATGAAGAAGATCACAGATGCCCATACCCCGTCCGGCCTGACGGTGAACCTGACCCTGTATTACATGCTATCCTGCTCACCAGCCCCACTGCTCAGCCCCAACCTGAGCCACAGGGAGAGAGACCAAATGGAGTCAACGCTCAACTATGAAGACCACTGCTTCAGTGGCCACGCCACCATGCACGCAGAGAACCTCTGGCCGGGCCGGCTGGCCTCGGTGCAGCAGATCCTGCAGCTCTCTGACCTGTGGAGGCTGACCCTGCAGAAGCGAGGCTGCAAGGGGCTGGCGAGGGCGGGCGCCCCCGGCATCCTGCAGGGCATGGTGCTCAGCTTCGGTGGGCTGCAGTTCACCGAGAACCACCTCCAGTTCCAGGCGGACCCCGATGTGCTGCATAACAGCTACGCCCTGCACGGCATCCGCTACAAGAATGACCACATCAACCTGGCCGTGCTGGCGGACACCGAGGGCAAACCATACCTGCACGTGTCCGTGGAGTCCCGCGGCCAGCCCGTCAAGATCTACGCCTGTGAAGCGGGCTGCCTGGATGAGCCTGTGGAGCTGACCTCAGCGCCCCAGGGCCACACCTTCTCGGTCATGGTGACGCAGCCGATCACTCCACTGCTCTACATCTCCACGGACCTCATGCACCTGCAGGACCTGCGGCACACACTGCACCTCAAGGCCATCCTGGCCCACGATGAGCACATGGCCCAGCAGGACCCCGGGCTGCCCTTCCTCTTCTGGTTCAGCGTGGCTTCCCTCATCACCCTGTTCCACCTCTTCCTCTTCAAGCTCATCTACAACGAGTACTGTGGGCCTGGGGCCAAGCCCCTCTTCAGGAGCAAGGTAGAAAGCCCCTGTGTCGGCAGAGCCCACAGCCCCGGCCCCGTGTTCTGTCCTGATCTAGGACGGGGTGAGGCTGGGCAGTCACGGGGTGCCCTCTAAGCCAGGGCCCTCAGCCCTTAACACAGAGAGAGGAGCGCATGTTTTCTGAAAGGCCATTAAAAAGTGACTTTTGAGATGAGACCATAGGAAGGGACAGCTGTGCATAGATCAGCCCGCTGGCCTCCCAGGGACATGGGCAGTTGTCCCCCACCCCACCCCCACATGAGTCTCAGCATCTGTAAATGCAACAAAGGCCTAGATTAACCTGAAGCCTCTGTCTAAACTGCTGGTGGGACCACCTCCTAACCCCGTTCAGTCCCTCCCTGCGGGCCAGCCCGGAGTGGTCATCTTGCTAGCACAGGACAGGATCATTCCCCTCATGTTTCCTCAGACACCTGTGCCCCTAGGAAGCTATGGTTTTGACCACAATTGCTCTGGGGCTCACATCTGGAATGTATTTCAGGACATCAGAATTGGTGTCTCAGGGGAGGCCACCTGCTGCCCTGTCACCCAGTCAGTCGTCTGTGCTTTCTCACTGTCAGGATGTCCTGGGAGAAAGGGCAGAAGGGAGTCCACTGTTGGCAGTCACAGGAGAAGGTGCTAGGGAGGAGCTGAGCTTGGTCCCCTCCCCTGGCTGCCTGAGAGTAGAGAGGTATATGAAGCTCTAGGTCTGTGTTCTCAAATAGTTAAAGAGCCAGGGCCCAATGCAGGAGCAATGCCCCATCACCTTCAGAGAGGGCTTTGGCGCCAGGAGTTAGAGAAGGAAGTGGAATCCAGTCTGAAGGAGTGGGAGAAGGGTGGGAGGCAGGTCTGAGTTCCTCAAGCTTGAAGAACAAATTGGAAATCAGATCAAAAAGAGACGTGCAGATGTCCAGTGAGCCTTCCGGCTCAGCTGTAACAGAGCAGCTGCGTGGTTTGCATTGCTTGGGTGGCAGCTTCTGTTTAGCCCAAGGCTGCTTTTCCCTGCTGGTTGGTGGACTTCTCTGCTCTTAAAGTGGCATCCACCCATCCACTTGGGTTCCCCACGGAATCGGGGACAAGCCAAACTACCTTCCTGGGGCACTGCCCCACGTCCTCAGTTTCCTTGTGCTAGAGTTGGCCACACCACAGTAGAGCCCGGGGATCACTGCACCAGCCCACCGAGTCCCAGCCCACTAAATCCATGGTAGCTCTAGCCTGTGGCTGGGCCAGGCGCTGTCTGCCTATCCAGATCGGAGCTCTGACTGGCTTCCCGTAGTATTTCTGTAGCTGTCCATGGGGTTGGTGGCAAACAGTAACAACTTGTTTTGTTAATTGAACAGGAAGATCCCAGTGTCTGAGTGAACCAACAGTCCTGCTTTCAGCCACCAATTGCACAAGACACCCAGCACGGACACTGCTGCTGCTACGAACAAGGGATCCTTTGACAGCACCCACCCTTTTGTGCCTTGTTGGGGACACCAGTGACGCAGAAGCGCGTGTGGATGTTCAGGAGTTTGCATTGGGGAATGGGAGGGGAGGGGCCAGTGGACTTTTTGTAAGCTTTCGACTCAATAAAATGAACCTATATGGAAAATACTTGAAATCGAACTCACTCCTTCCCCTTTTCCCCTTTCCTCTGGCCCAGGAACTAGACCTCTTTTGAAAAGACTTTGGGAAAAATTGTGGGGTTTTTTCTAATTTAATGTGTTCCTTCTTGACTGCATTTTTAATTTATTGTTGAGATTTTGCTGGATGGCTTTGGCATCCACCTTAGACTGAATCTTGGTGGTGATTTCCGATCTCTCCACAGGGATGGCATTTGGGGGCCCCACCGGTGGCCTGTGTAGAGGGCTTGGGTCTGGGGTCATCCTCAGGTTTGCACATGGTCTCTTTCCAATGAGCCCGCGGACATCGGTGGGTTTGTACTTCTGGGCTTTAGGGGACGTGTTTAACTTTCTAGTGATCGATGATTGTCGGGTTTTGAAATACCAAAGCTTTCTTTTGTTCTGTTTTTAAATAAATCTCTTTCAAACTTCATGATGGGTCTGTGTGTGGTTGAAACCCTTGGAGACACCCTATCTCCCTGCGTCACCAGACTGGGTAGTGTCTGAGCAGGAGGGCCCCTGCTGTGGCAATAGGAATCCTTTCCCCACGTCTCCTCCCCTCAGAGGAGTCCACTCAGATGGGAAGGCAGCTACTTTTCTGCTCCCCTGAGGGGTTCGCTGGGTAGTCCTGCCCAGTAGGCAGGTTGAGAAACATCACCCGGTCCTTTCACTGCTGCAGCGCCCTGTCCCCCCACCTGCCCTAAGTAGCCGAGATTTGCCTGCTCTGGGTTTTGCTGGCCATAGGACTGGGCAGCAGAAAACCCTGAGTGGCCTTCTACCCATTTCCTAAAACTAAGATCTGACCCTGCCTTTGTGGGAAGAGAATGGAGCTGGCACCTGGACCAAAAAGGGCTGAGCTGGGCGCGGCAGCCCACCTGGGGACGCTGACATCCTCAGTGTTGTTCTCAGCAGCCGACACCCTGGGTGGTTTGCCAAGGAGCTGAATGGCCCACACCGATGAGCAAGTAAACAAGGGTCAGGCTTCACTGCCAGCTGCCCTGATCGTCCAGCCCTCAGTCCCAGGCACCTTCCACTCCTGCTCGGGGTAGTGCAGAGCTGGGAAATACTTCCCCTCCCCCCAGCCTGGGTCCTAGGCTGGCTGCCCATTTCCTAGATGGGGACCCTCATGGGGTGCAGTTGGGTGTGGCTAATATGTCATACTCTCCAGTCACAGCATTAAACCAAACCGGAAGCTGCTTGACAGGAACCACACTTCATAGCCCCACTCCCTCTGTTTAACTTGCACCCCAACACGTAGGCTGCCATCTATGGAGAAGTGAACCCACGTACCTGGTGCCTGGGATACCTACTGAATGATCAAAATTTCAATAAACTAGTATTTGTGAATTGTAGCTCTCACTTAAGTGCTCACCATATGCGTTCGGTATTTTACATGAACCTGGCCCTGTGCAGGGAGGGTGTTGTTGAGGGTTAAGATCCCGCTTGGAGAAATGAGGAAATGACCTGGGACTTAATAATTTGCCCAGGACCAAGGGGGAATGCAAACTGGGGCTTGCCGCGGGCCCCACCTCTGCCTCTCTCTCAGCCCCACGCCACCCCATGACCCCACGCACTGCTCCTCTGACGTATTCTGGAAGATGGACTAGGGGTGAGGCATTTTCCTCCCCTCCAGGACGGCATCAGCAACCTGCTGTCAAAGTGACTCAGCTCCTCCATTCGGGCCCCTTGCAGAGGGGAGGCGCTGGCAGGCCTCGGCTGGGAGCAGGCCGGGCACCGACCCTCGGCCGCCTGCCTTCTCAGCCTCTCAGGCGGGATGCATAAGGAGGCTTCATCTAAAGCTGCTTTTGCAGGGGCGGGCACCTGGTGTGGAAAATCTGACTGCGAGCTACCCAGCACTCCCAGGGCTGACAAAGCTGGTTCTGAAATGCATCAGCTTCCTGAAAACCCACCTGCCCCACGGGCCTCTGGCGCCGCATTTCCCGTCCTCTCAGCCCACCTCTGACTCCCGCCCTGGTTGCAGCCACAGCTCTGCACGGGCGTGAGGACCCAGTAGCCTCCTGCTTCAGTTTCTCTCCTAAATTTCAGGAAGTTGCAGGATTGGGTCAGGAGGGTGGAGCCCTCAGGCATGGAATTAGTGCCCTAATAAGAGAGACCCCATAGAGCTCTCTAGTCTTTTTCCTGCCACGTGAGGACACAAGGAGAGGACAGCGGTCTGCAGCCCTGAAGAGGTTCTTACGAGAGCCTGACTGTGCGGGCACCCTGATCTCGGGCTTCAGCCTCCAAAACTAAGAAATCCATTTCTGTTATTTATAAGCCCCCCCCCCC